GGTGCTTTCGAATGAAATATTTGTCTTTGGCTGAGGGAGCTGAATACAGTTGTAGGTCATCGTCCTCTTCATTGATGGTACAATTTGTACCGTACAAATTGATGGAGAGTGGGCAGTTCAAGGCCAACTGCTTAAAATACCCAGTGGATCCTGAACGGAGCAACCAAAAGTCAAACGTGACTAACCTTACTGCGCCTTCCATATGTACCTTCTTGCTACGTACCTACTAGATCATATATCACGCCGTTTTTGTCGAGTCGATTATTGGCACCTGCATAGTAAACAAGTGTAAGAAGTACGCCCAACTTGGGCTTAAATAAGTCGAGATATAATAGGTCCTGACTTACATATCATGATGATTTCCGTTTGCGCATAACACAACGAACTCGGAGATTCAAAACGCGTGCTGCGGCGTGCAGTTGTAAGTATAGATCTGAACGTTGAAAGAAACTGTTCGATTATTTGCGGGGCTGTGGCGCTGCGCCTAGGCTGTCACTGAAATGTAGGTATGGTTCTAATTTCCAGAGCACCGGACCTGCAGGTAAAAATTCAAGGCAACAGGCGCACAAGTGACTCAATGACTCCACTTACTGTGCTTACTAATCATACCTAGTTGCAATTCGCAGACATGGCGGACTCCCATCAAGTCTGTATTTGAAGATCTGCACAGACGTATTTTGTACCACTCCTACTCCTCTTGAGATCAGATAAACGTTTGAGCCGCGCTCCATGGCACCATCGGAAAACATACGTCTTTTGGAGCAAAGTACTCCGCAGTGGGTCGCTGATAACGGAGACTTGGATGGAAGTCGACTTGAACCGAAATTCAGAATCCCAAGGTAAAAACTCCAAGTACCACTAATGACTAGCAAACTTACTGCGACTTCCAGATCAATCAAATCCATGACTGACCGAAAGGCTGTAGCAAATCTTGCAGGTCAAACAACTGGAAATTATTGAAACAAGTTATCCTTCATCCACGGATCTGCCCAAGATCTGCCTAATCTGTCCCTTTCAGTTTCAACAATATGAGTGGGAAGGCTACTATTCGAAGTTACTTAAAAGGGTCAATGTTCTTACTTACACCCTTCATCTCACCTTCAGCTTTACGATAATGTCGTCTCAGACCAACTTTGCAAAGGACCTTGGCATCGACTCAGTTGCTGGGGCCATCGTATTCACGATCCTATATATACCCCTCTTGGTGTGGTTTGTAGGCAAATCATTCAATCATCCAACCCACATCCACTATGGTCTCACTTTATTTTGTACAGGTAAGCAAAACATTTATTTTTTGATGAGGGATGCTCAATTTTATATTGACTCGTTTTTAAAAAAAAGTACGCATCGCCGCGTTTGTGATGCGTGCCGTTCTGGCAGGAACATCAGCAGGAGAGTCACTCAAGGTGCTCATCGCGGATGAAGCACTTTTCGGAATTGGCTATTTCTCGCTGTTATATTCTGCATACAGCCTTGTTTTAGACGAGTAAGAACCTATTTATCGATTCTTAGCCTGAGAGTATGAATGTTGATGTTTTGGCTTCGAAGAATTGTTCTCTCCAATGAATCTTCAACACCCAGCCATCCTTTATTGAGACTTACACAAAATAGAAGGCTTTTCCGATCGACACTCGTAATAGCCGTCGTTCTCGGAGTCGTTTCATTTTCATTTACAAAAAGCACCCCCACGACGAAGGAGACTTCACTACACATAGCAAGTACAGTCATTTTCGTGGTTGTTACGGCCCTCCAAGCCATTCAAACAATCATGCTTGCAAGCCACGGTGTATCTGGTATGTTAACTAAACAAAAACCGTCTTACCAAAGGCCCTGCCAGCTGATTGCTAACTTTTTCCAGCGCGAAGCCAGTACTACGTAGGAAGTAAAGGCTCCATCGGGGTTAGATACGGAAATTACATCCTAGTGATCATTTCCCTGCTTTTGCTCGTTCGGGAAGCATTTGCGATAGCGACAGTGAAGAACAGCGCAAAACAGAATAACGAACATTTCTGGTATCCTCTCCTTGCCGTTCCTGAAATCCTTGCTGTCATACTATTCACCACACCGGGGCTTGTCCCTCGACAAGATGAAGTCCCAGCATACTCTTTGGCCGATGAGACAGCAGCATAGGCTATTTGGGACATTCGTTGTCCAATTTTTCTTTGGCATACTGATACACTAGTATTTACTTAGGGTGGATACCCCTTCATATATTGATAATTTGCTCTGGATCTCAATGCATTTTGTGAAGATGACGGATTTTTAAGGAATGTTTGACATTCATTTGCCTTTGCTGCATCGGACATAGCGAGGATCAAGCCTCGAGCTGAGGCTGGTGTACCCGGCGGTATTCGAGCTCAATCCTCTGATCAGGTGTTGTCAGTGTCAGTTGTGGAATGAAGTGTTCGTGAGCGTTTCATTAACGCGCGCGCGCGCAATTTTTAGTTACTTGGGGTAACTAAATTTTTTGTGGAGCAAGTTTGATGAACTAGGTTTACAGCTGCCTGCAAAATGCTAGGCCGTTTTTAAATCTTCTGTGTGCGCCTTTGTTTGGTGCAAATACACTTTTTGGGTAGATCCGTAGTAGATATGACGAATTGGAGCCAATGTGGAGCAATCCATCGGGATCTGAAAACTGTTGCAAGCATGGTTGCCGAGGTTACAGACATTGACCACTGTATATATTACTATGACATAGTTATTGTATTCGATGAGGGAGGCCGCGAGCAAGAAGAGGGGAGCGTGGAGCTGAAATGACAATCGCATCATCACTCCCGCACTGTACCAAAAACAGGTGTTTACACCAAACACGGGCGGACACAGAAGATTTAAAAACGGCCTAGCATTTTGCAGGCAGCTGTAATCAAGTATGGTTTTGGACGTCAATGTTCTGTTACCGATTTAGCGAGGATTGAGACTAATTGAGATCGAAGATAGAGGACTTGAAATTACCGGACCGGGTGACCCGCTATGTTCGGATTGGGGATCGATCCATCGAACTCAGTGACCCGTGGATTTCAAAAAAAATCCTCTAATTGATTTTCTAGAAGACTGGATTCGAGTCTAGACAACTTTTGTTTCGTACGGTATTATAATTCTTTCTGTAGTCAGAGGGATGTCAACAAACTGGGATGGACACAGTAGATGATATCAAATAGAAGTACATTTGAAACGGTGTTTTCGCAAGAAATATTTGTGCGTGTCAATGGCTGAGGGAGTTGAATATAGTTGTAGGTCGTCCAGTTTCATTGACGGTATGAAAGTTGTACCGTACAAATTGATGGGGCTAACGCCGGGGAAATGCACCGCAGGCAACCCTAGGGCCTAGGTAGTAGGTAACCGTAACGTTCAGCTGGGCGCAGTCGAACGTTGACTCCTTACTGCGACTTTCATACCCTTCCAGCGTCGGTTGCAACTTACATTGAACCTACAAGCGTACTTGCTGTGTAAACTTCACAGGTCAGGCTGCGCAGTGCGCGCACCTGGCTGTCCTCCGAGCTTCTACGGCTTTTCTATTTACGCATAGCCACAAAGCTAAATTTATCCCTTGACCCGAAATAAAAAGGGCTGGCACTGGCAGCTGTTCGAAATTAAAAGTCATCGTCCCTACACCTTTCTTCCCCAAGTCTCCAAGGCTTTTGACGACCAAGGATGTCCTCTATTCCGCCTCACTTTAACTTTGCAAAGGCCACTGGCATCCAGTCACTTGCTGGAGCAATCGTATTCACGGTTCTATATGCACCCCTCTTAGCTTTTTTTATACGCAAATGTTTCACCCATCCGACCTATGTCCACTACGTTCTAACTTTCTTCTGTGCGAGTAAGTAAAAGCCACCTTATGTCTTCTTATCCGTTTACAAGTAACTCAATATTGGTTTTGATGATTTTTTTTTTAGTACGAGTCGCTGCGTTTGCCATACGCACCGCTCTAGCAGCTTCGAGTTCAGCAGGAGAGTCACTTGGATTGGTCATTGCAGAGTCAACCCTTTTTGGAGTTGGTTATTTTTCGCTTCTCTATTCAGCGTATACCCTGGTCTTGGATCGGTGAGGCTCTTCCCATGGTTCTATCTTAGAACTATCAAATCTGATCTTTTTCTTTCGAAGCATGCTAATATCCGATGTACCACCATCTAATCATCCGCTCTTAAGACTCACTCAAAATCGGAGGATTTTCCGGCTTGCGGTTCTTCTAGCACTGGTTCTAGGAATTGTCGCATCTTCAACGACCAATTCTAATGGGACTAGCACAACAACAACTAAATCATTACACATCGCAAGCACAGCCATTTTCCTGGTTCTTACTGTCCTACAAGTCATCCAGACCGTCATCCTTGCCAAGTCGGGTATGTCTGGTATGTAAATATTCATTATTGAGTCTTTACGAAAACGGTCTAACCCAACCCTCTCTCTGTGTAGGACGAAGTCAATATTACATACGAGACAAGGATTCCATAGGAGTGCGATATGGAAACTACATCCTCCTGGTAATCTCCCTGCTCATGCTCATTCGAGAAACATTTGCGATGGCGACAGTGACGAACAGCGCCAAACAGGATAACGAGCATTTCTGGTATCCCTTACTTGCTCTTCCTGAAATCCTCGTCGTCATACTCTACACCACACCTGGCCTCGTCCCTCGGGCAGCTGAACTTCCGACGTACTCTCCAGCTGTGGCCTCGTAATTGGGAGAAGACTCATTTGGCAGTCTGACCCTTTCAGAGTTCGATTAATGCGTAACAATAGCCTTCACGTATACAAAAGAACAGAATTCGCCCAGACTTCTATCAATATAGTAGTAGTAGCACCTTATTCAATGAAAGTAATATATCATTTGACCTTGGTCCGGTGACACCTTTCCTTAGATATCTGTTCTACAATATTTAAAACTTGATCTTGTGATAATGATCGAAACTTTGCTCAGATAAGGGTGCGAGCCCCGACTACAATTGATAATTTTAGTCATCTAGTACAATACTTCCTCTTACACAAGGTTTTCGTCATCGAGTATGGTGTAACGGCTAACATTACCGCCTTTCATCGTGACCAACGCGGTAGCTCGGGGTTCGATTCCCCGTACTCGAATGTAGACATCATGAATTATTTCACTTTTGTACCTATTTTATTTTTACCAAGTAAAAAGTAAGTGTAGCAGTCACCAACGAAACAAAAATAGTCCACTGTTGTTCGCCTTTTATTTATTTTTTGAGATGTTTGTGATTATAGGTGATTCATTTCAATTTCATAAGTGACTGTAAAGACGAAGGCTTCCATCGACAAGAATTTTTTTTTTTTCCCGAGTTGTATGTATTCCACAGAAAGCAAGAAAACAAATGCTATATAAAAGCACATGACGAACAAAAAACGACAAGTTATCCTCCAAACTAAATACCAAAAAAAAAGAAACAGCGGATGAGATAATGATTGCAAATCGGTACCTAATCAACGATGTGATGTGTGTGTGTTATGTATGGATCCAAGGTAATGGTTATGCTACATGCAATGGAGATAGACCTAAGCTATTAGTTGTATTGTGTTGTGTGTTGATGAATCAAAATGATTCCCGATCATATGACATTTTTGCGTGGGCATCGTGATGACATCAAGAAAGATGTATTCGTAAAATGGAGGGGTGGGGCGTCAAGCGTGAAAGAAACGAAAAAAGGGCAATGAGAGAAGAAGGGTCTTCAAGACGTCATGGAAGTAAAGAAGGGAGGAGGAAGGAGGAATGATGATAAAGGCGACGGAGATGGAAGCGTGAGGATACAGCGGGTGAAGGGAGCTGAGCCAATGAAGAGACGGAGCTAAAGCCCAAAGCATCAATCTAGACACCAACAACAAAAAAGTCAGTATCCACCTTCTCATTCAGAGAACCAGATGAACGAACTTCTGACCTTCATGACATAGCTAACAACCGTCAAACCCATTACGTATCCTCCTCCTCATAGTACTTCATCTTCAGCCTGATAACAACAAGTCCTCAACTTCGACTTCTCCCTGTTACTCTTGAACCCTAAACCAGGTCCCTGCCTAGGTCCGCACGATCCACGCATCCTTAACACGGTGATCAAATGTCGACTAGATAATGGTGGAGTAATATTTGTCTGGACGTCAACATCCATTTTATCTGAAGAACTAGAGCGTGTAACGCCGTCATCCAGGAACGGGCTTGTTTCTGAAGTAGAAGAATCGACCTTGAGTACCCATTCATCAACCCCATTCCATTTCAAAAAACCTCTCAACCTCAAAGCAAGGAGAGCGTCTTGCACTTCCAAGTCTTCGTTAAGTGAGGGAGTCAGTTCATTATCCATCATCGCAGCAGCATCGCCATCATCATCGACGTCATCATCCACTTCGACGAGAACACCGTCAAGGTGTTCTCGCCGTGACCAATCTGGTGCTCGACGAACTTGCGTATTCAAACGACGTTGTTGTCTCATCTCAAGACCGGACACTAAGGTTCGGTAGAGGAAGATGAAGAATTTGAGTTCGGAGGGTGAGATACGTGGTTTTCGTGGTGGCGGTGATGGTGATGGTGGCGGCGGTGGCGGTGGGTGTTGTGGTTGTGGTGTGGAGCTTTCAGAAGTGGTAGTGGAGGAGGTCGGAGATGACGAAGTGGAAAGAGGTAGGCTGGCATGAATCGGTGTTGGGGAGGTTATTGGCATTGGAGCCACGACAGGGGGTGAATAAGGCGGTGGGGAAGGACAATACGGAGGCAATTCTGTCTGGCCATGCTTATCTAGATCCTGTCCCGGGCGGCCTTGGTGGTCTTGAGATTCTTGTTGATGACCAGAATCTGGAGTGTGATGTTCAAGATCCACTGGTGATGATTTGACAGACCATTTATCGCTAGCGTCCTGCGTCTCCAACTCATCGCCGATAGAGGCGGCATTTGGTGACCGGGAATCAGGCGTTGGCGAGGAAGGCCTAGCTGGTGGAACACGTTGCGCCAGTGCCCTAGCTCTCGCTGATGGGGTGCTGCGAGATGAGCTTGGCGGAGTGGTAGTTAAACTACCCTTCCGAGCACGTTTTCTAGGCGGCGAGATAGACGCGGAAACAGTGGTTGAGGGATGTTCCGAGTCTTCCTTCTTATGAACATTTTGACGTTTCGCGTGAGAATTCGAACCAGCAGGGGAAGGGGAGCCATGAGTAGTAGTAGTGGTTATCGTTGTCTTTGTGGACGTGGGGAATGGAATGACATTAATATCGTTTATCGTCGTTTTCGTTTTCGTTCGTCTCAGGGACTTGGGTGAAGCTGGAAGCGGCATAGGTACAGCCACAAAATGAATAGTGTTCAAGTCGAGCTGGAGGGTGTCCACCTGCATTGCTTCCTCGTCTGATGAATCATCAGAGGAAGGCGGAGTTGGTTTGCAGGCAGATACATGAGCCAGAGACAATGTACACGTCGGCCGGGACTTGCGACACAACGAAAGACTACGCATGATATTTAGAGGAGGTAGTCTACGAAGAGGACTCGCAGTTTTTGACGACAAAGAAGAAGAAGAAGAAGAAGCTGAGGCCAGGTGAAGAGGCATTGCAGTAACAAAAAGTTCAACGTCAAGGTTCAAACGAATTCCTATGGTTGCCTTGTAACAAAGTAAAGAGTGGAGCGGCGTGTAGGAAGTGACGACCTGCGTATTGGAGAAGATTTCGTTATGATTCAGTGCTCGATGAGATGCCAAAAGGGCCGGGGAAAAACTCAGCCACCAAGACGAGCGATTGGGGTAGAAGAAAGAGAGGGTGTTACAAAGAAAAAGGGCTAAGACCCAGGGTCGGCCTCATGTTCATGGCATAGGTCCCCCGTGACCATCCGGTCAACAACGCGTCGCGTGAACACGCGTTGATAGTCTAGCATCTCACGTACAAATCTTCCCAGTACAGCCCTCAATGACGTTGAAAGGTGCTTATCTCGTTGAACGTTGAACATTATTCATCGATTAGGGCATCCTCATGTCCTCTCTACCTTAATTGTGTTGCAAACGGAACGCTTTGGAACGCTTCCTATCCCGTGTTCCGGTCCCTTGTTTGCCAAGTGTCTTCTATTACATAAGATCTCTATTCCCATGTCCTCTCTGGGTCCATATGTCTATCTCACCTCGAGGCCTTATTCATCAAAGCTGCAATCAGCAATACCTCTAAAATTAGTAATCTCCCTTCGGACAAACCCCCATCCCTTCACATCAATATAAACCAGAAATAGAGGGCCATTACATACGTCTCTTCTCGTTTATCATAACCCGCGCCCCGATATTCGCGCTCGAGGTTGATAAAGGTTCATATGGGTCATTTTGCTCGATGTCCTCTCCTCAAGCTTGAATAAAAATTCAACCGACATTGTAATTATCTCACGTCAAACGGGGATTCGGGACGATATTAAAGTTGGTAAGGTAATTTCTATGAACAGTGATCTCATTGCTGCGAAGCTAACTCTTTCAAGTTCTCTAGGCTGTGCTGTGCCTCTAATTTGGAACAAAATACACACTGACTACTCCGGTTTATCTTTATTTGAACGCCACGTTCAAGTCCTACTAGTACTAAGTTGCTCTATCTGCATCTTACTCGTCTGGATTCTGCTGAGGATTTTCTGTACTTCCTCACAAGCTCCAGTTTCACTGCGTACATAGACGCCCTGATCCCGGAAGCGGCTTCATAAGTGCCTTGTTGTAGAACTTCACGCCCTTCCCACTGCATACAAAGCCAGCGGGTAATGGAACCGTAGGAGAGCCAAGCCATGATCATCAAAGGAAGGCCGTTCAAACCGATAAGATCGCCTTAAATAACCTTCAACTAGAATGATCCTAGAATGATCCTAGAATGAACCTTACCACAAAGCCGACTCCGATTAGCCAATAGTAAGGTCTTTCGCAAGCGTGTTAGATTATAACATGCTGAGGTCCAAGAACTTCCTTCAATCATCGGAGCCTTTCGGCCGCAAGCCATAACTAGGTTGCGAATAAGAGGGAACAAGGTACTTTGTTTTTGATTATCTCTTTTTTTTTTTGGAAATGACAGCGGCGAACTGTTAAATATACAGTAGGAAGAAGCCACATACCCAGTTCACGATAAGACCAGTGTCCCTTTTATAGTTGAAGGTTTCCTTTTTCCGCTGGTTATTCATTCAAACATCTAATCTACTTGCCCTCGTAAACCCACCACCTCCCACCACCCGCTCAGATGACGTGCATCGAGATGCAGACCTCGTACCTGAATCCATGGATGATATAAAAGTCAAGGTGCGTTAGGTACAGACCTAATTGAGGTCATGAATCGACGCTGAATTGGAAAAAGTAGATAAGATAGGAATCATAAGTATCCCATTTTCTTTTTCTTTTTCTTTTGGATACCGCTCGTTTTGGATTGTGATTCTCTGAGTCTGAGTGTTACTGAAATATCTATTCAAAAAATCGGATAATCAAAAAAAAAAATCCGCTTCTCACTCGCGTGTTTAAACTCTGCCCAGCTTGGCCCCCTAGTGATGTGTAACTAATTGGTGTCGCAAGTACTGGCATTACCACAAAAAAAATTACTATGCGAGGGCGTATTCGAGTACGGGGAATCGAACCCCGAGCTACCGCGTTGGTCACGATGAAAGGCGGTAATGTTAGCCGTTACACCATACTCGAGTGACCAAAGGGCTGGATCTGGGCATTATCTAATGAATTACTATTTAAATAATTATTTTTAAAAAAGGTCCATCTCCTCCTCTTCGCCTCTGCTTGCCGACCATGGCCACTACCTCATACACTGGAACATATGGCTTCCCAGAAGGCATAAGCCCAGTAGATAGTATTTCTCCCCTACCACCACTCCCTCGAATAAATGAAACTTATCGAAACTCTTCGAGCACGTCTAGTCTATCGGTCCACTTTATAAAGTGATCTTCTGCTTAGACGGTCCTTTGCCGTGGGATGCCAAGCTGTCTCAAGGTAAACGAGTAACACTACACTAAGTACAAATCATCTCCCCTGAGTATATAATGAAATTGTAGACATACATAAAAGGGAAAGGATGGGGAGGATAAATACAATGATATAAAAGGAAGGTTTAATGGGAATCTAATCGTTTGCAAGACCCGATATTCCAAC